ATCCAAGGCCTTCTCATAAGGAAGGGCCTCATTTGTAATCGACTACAAATACTAGTGGATTCATTCAAACTGGGCCAGGCCCCGTGGTTTTTCCCCCTTTTACAGGGGTTTTCCACGTAAAAATCTTGGTGTCTCATAAATGCTAGACCCTCTCTCCTTATCTGCTTGCGTGCCAGATCTTCGTACAATGCTAAGACGTTAAATATAATATTTCTCTACCGCCGCGAATACTCCTGGACGCAACACTTTATATATTTGAATTCAAAACTTTAAATGGAAAATCATTATAAAAATTAAAATTAAATACATTTTATTATTTGAAAAATGTTATTATTATTTGTTCGGGAAATTATTATTCTTATAATTTGATTAAGTTGATTTTATCACTTCTCTTTCACGAACTTTTATTTGGTCCGGTCACAGGACGTAGCTCTACGTTCGGCCGCCAATAGAATCGCGCCACACGTTCTCACTATTTAGCGCGCGGCCCGACAACCTGACCTGGAAAGGACCCAGGATGACTTGGTATTTCTTGATTTTGCTAGGTATTGCTCGGTATTGTTAGGTATTGGTCGATTTTATTCGGCAATAATCAATACCGAGCAAATACTGAGCAATATCGAGCAAATACCGAGTAATACCGAGAAATACCGAGTTGTACCGAGTTTTTCTAGAAATACCGAGTACAAAAAAACTCGATACAACTCGGTATTGCTAGAAAAACTCAGAATTTCTAGCAAATACCGAGTTTTTCTAAAAAACTCGATCATTATTTCAAGCAAATACCGAGTTTTTCTAGAAAAACTCGGTAAGAAAAAACTCGGAACAACTCGGTATTTATCGGTATTACTCGGTATTTGTCTTCGCAGAGCGGTATTTCTCGTTATTGTCAAGCAATACCGAGCAAATGCCGTGTAATACCTCGCAATACGCGAACATAGCATTCCCGGATTCCGGTCCAGATCAAGTCGTCGGGTCACGCGGTAAAAAGCAAGAGCACATGACCACATATTATTGATGACCGAACGTAGCTCTACGTCCGATCAGAGCATTGTTACTCTCTTCCATAGGTTGGGTTTGAACTCAAACTCGAGTCATGCTCAAACGACCAGACAGTTCTACAGCTCCCTCTCCCTCCTCGCGACGCATCAGCAGATTCCAAGTTTTTGTTTTGATAGGTTTATAGGCTTCTTGGTCGACTGTGCCGCTCTGCTGCCTGCGAAATATCAGAACTTTAGGGCTTCCGATGGCATTATCCGGGCGTCTTAGATCCGGCTTTCCCTTGTTCCGCAGCCTACTGAGGACAGGAGCTGCCCTCTCCCAGCGATCGATTGCCGATCCAAGCTTTGCAAGCCCTAAACTTGCCGCATCTGAGGTATGCCCTATACCTGACTCGCTTTCAGGGATCAATTCCAGTTTTACCGCTGTTGGTTTGCGCTTATTTGAATAAATTAGTTGATGTATTTGATTTTTTGGACAATTTGAATGAATATCGTTCCATATATAGGCCATGATTGTCTTTTCATTTTTATTAGGAATTTCTGCGTTTTGGACCATTCATGTAAGATTCTTTGTTTGTTTTGGATGCAGCATTTGAGGTGCTTTGCGACCAAGGCAAACGAGAGTGAAGCAAGTATCAAGGTAATGGAGATCTTTCACTCCTCTGTTAATGCCGCAGCCTATTGATTAATTGATGGAACTATTCTTGTTTATTCTCCTCTAAAGCATCACAAAGCATTAATTATTTAATTATGTGCAATTAAACTTGGTGTTATTCTTTGTCAAGGATATACGATTATTGATGGCTGAGAAGGGCTGTATTGATTGTGAAATATTTTATTTTATTTTCTTGGCATAATTTCATTATTGATATAGTTAGGTTAATTCTGAAAGAGGATGTTATGGTGATATGCATTATATCTTCATGTTGTTTGGAGTGTTAAGTTCAAATTGTCATATTTAAAATTTCCAAGCCGAGCAATTTGATGCGAGACAACTATTGTTTGATTGGTGGTTTTGGAATCATTTAAAAATATGTGTGGGTTTTGAATCTCATCTCCAAGGGATGCAATGTCCGCACTATTATGGGTCCTTTAGAGCTCGACTGAGGATGTCCTTTAATGCAGCTTTATTGCATGATGTAATTGATATTGCAGCCTTATTGCTTTTGGATATGAGATTGGTGTGATGTTGGTGGCTAAATTAAACTAAATTAATAATTAGTTGCTTTGAAGAACTTAAAATTAAATTGGATTTGAACTTATATCGAGATTGGTCACACCATTTTATGAGTATCTATAAATATTGGACCAATGCATGAATTTCCTTTTTGGCTTGAATAGAGTTCCTATCTCTAGCTTCAATATTGTAAGTGCAAGTTTATGTATTTTTCTTTAGAGTGCGGTACAAGTAAAAATGCCTAATTTTCGGGAAGTTTTTTGTTTGTACCGATGCCAGGCCTAGTGTCTTCTTACTTTGGTAATTTCGACCCTTGTTGATTGGTTCTACGTAATTTTCTACTAACTATTTATTGCTCTTAATTTTGGTGAAAAATAATATCTCGAAAAGTTATTTTGTGAAAATTAATTCATTTGCTTGCTATTTTTATTTGTTTTCAAAGTTATGTTTAAATTCTCATATATTTACGATGGTTTCATTATCAATTGTGTTCAAAATTATTAATTCCCATTTTCATTTAAAAAATGAGTTATTGTATTGATTGATAACTTTTGATACATGCATCCTCAAATTTCTCTGTATAAAAGCATGCAACACATCATATTAGTTGCATTAAGAAACACTTTTATTGAGTCGTATTACATTAAATTTGTATTAGACATTTATTTTGTGGCGACATGTCCCTTAAAATTGTGGCTAATTACTGGGGTTGTTAGTAGATGGTGAAAGAGGGGGAACTTTAACAACATTGCAAAATCAATTGATTGAGCTTTTGAACAAGAAAATTCAAATACATAATAACATTTGTCTGTCTAAAAAAAAAAAAGATAATTTGGAAGCCAATTAAGTTCGAACGTGCATTGTATTCCAGTATCAGCAAGTGACCAATTTATTTGAATGTTAGTTATGGTAGGAGAAATGTAATCAAAATTAGGAGTAATTTAGAGTTTTTTTAACAATAATTCATATAAAAATAATTGATGTTAACATTTTTTTAACTTGATGATGACTTAACTTGAAAAGTTAAAGTTGAAACGACTATCTATGGTGGATCAATCGTAAAATTTTTACTGACTAGTTGATGTAGATAGTTTTTTGAATGAAAAACTATATCTAATGAAATATAAGTGTGATTTACAAGAATGAAATTAATTAATCATGTTAAATTTTATTTGATAACTATTGAGAGACAAAGAGAGAGATTTGCATAGAACCTACAACTTGGATTATAATGAAAAAAACATTTTCGTTTATAATATCATGATAGTTTGCTTGTTGAATATAGTTTACTAAAGCAACAAACTAAAATGTTACTGAGTTCATGAACAAAATTGAAAAAAAATTATTGTGTTTTGAGATCATGGATGATAAAAAACCACACGCTCAAGATTTAGATATGGTTTGCTACCTAATATGAAGAAAGAGATATCACTCATCACATTCAAATGCTTGATTATGCTTTTGCACTTGCATTAGTTTTTAAATAAAATTTTAGTTTATGTTTTTTTTTCCAAAGCAATAAAATTCTATATATTGCACCTACTACATTTAAGACTAATGACTAGGGGTGTAATGAGTCGAGTATATGCTTAATCGAGCTAAGCTCGAACTTGATTTGAGCTCATTTACTGAGCTCAAAATGGCTCATTCAAAAATTGTTGTGCTCAAGCTCAACTTGATTACTTGAGCTCGTTTGAAAAGTTCTAGCTTGACTTAAGAAATAATTACAAATATTTAATATTTGCTTTATTATACTATTCTGAAATTAATTTTGTAATATATTTTGATTTAAATGAGTGGCTTGACAAGCTTACGAGCCGAGCCAGGCTGAGCACAAGCTTGAGCTCATATACTATATGTGCTCAAATAGAGGTTCGAGCTTAAATTTATGGCCAGAGAAGCTTGGCTCGTGTGCCCATTAACAATTCTAGTTCGAGCCAGCTTGTGAGTCGACTCGGCTCACTTACCAATAACAGTATAGTCAATATGAATGTTAAAAGAAAATCAACTTCATATGCATTTGGATTTACAATTTTTGCAAAACATGTTCTAAGTGTCACTATTTTAATAGGATAATTCCATACTTCAAAGCAAGAGTTAAACCATGAGGTAGAGGGTAAATTACTGTATCCAAGCAAAAGATAATGTCTCTTTAGAGGAAATCCTACAAGATAATTATCAAGTGGTCCATGAAAAGAATGAATGAGCTCAAATGTGGTAACATGTACAAGTGAGGAATCAGGGAAAGGTATATATGACCTAATTAAGATTTTATGGATTCATCATCTTGGTCTTCAGGCTTAAAAGTTACTTATTCATAAAGGTAGTCAACCCATTCTATCCCTTAAGTGCTTTGTCAGGAACCATGAATTACATTGTTTGGAGTCTCATGTTCTCAAATCAAGGAACGAAACACATATTCCTAGATAAATATTTCTACTCGATAGATCTGGAAGGAGTATATGGCTTACAATTATTAGAAGTATAATGAAAAACTTATGAAAATAAGATAGAGACAACTTGACTATGCAAGCAAAATTGCTCGGCCTATAATCCTTTATGGATCTTTGCTGCCGCTAAACTATCTAAATCATTGTAGGCTGCTACCTAAGTAAGTTCAATTAAATTATGAAGTTATGTGAGCATAATGGAGCAAGTATACTTAACGAGCCATGAATGATGCAAATTTACCTGCCTTTAAGTGGGGAGAATCGGCTAAAATGCTTAATAGATTAGGATGTATATGCTTTTGTGAATCAACCCTGATTCATGCTGATAATTAATTTTCCATTGTGAAAAGGTATAAGAAGCATCATTTTTGACTTATATATCCACGTAAATGCAAGGTGATAATGTTCATTTATTTGCAAACAAAAAAAATGCTTAAGTATCATGCAATAGCAATTTATTTTTAATGAAGATTGGTTTTGCATATGATTGTTTTGTTGTTGCTTATCAATTTGATTAGCTTTGTAAAAAACACATTATGCTCTCAGAGCTTAGCATTTGATGATGGTTTTCATGCAAACAACACTTCATTAAGGAAGCTATACAATCACACTGGTGCGGTAAATGATCCCAAATAAAAGAATAATTGATAAAGAAAGATCGGTTGCCATTGGGTAATGCAATACACCTAAAAAAAAACTGAAGTAGTTGTGCTCTACATACACACAACCTTGTCCTAAGTCTATACATGAATGCCAAAATATGGTTTAAAGTATAAACCACGAGTCATGTTACTCTTGATCGTTTCCTCCTTTGATTTTAAGTTTAAAGATGGTATTCGGGATGGGTACATCATTAAGAAAGCTGTACAATCACACTTATGCTTATATTTAGTTCAAGTACATGGATTTCCTAGGCTAAAAGCATATATACAAAGGGTACAAAGCGGCATCTACAAAAATATATGATTAGTACAAGCAAACATAATTTTGCTAATACACATCTTTGTTTCAAACGGTATATATCTTAGGTCATAATTTTACTAAGGGACCTAAGCTAGCAAGTACCTGTAGAAAAATAGTTCATATTTATTTTTATTTTGTCCCTTTTGGGCTTTATTGTAACAATTATAGAAAATGATATTTTTACCTTTTTGTGCAAAAACACAAAGCAAAACATAAAGTATGTAGCCAACACAAAATATAGGACACCACAACAGTTGCATGGTAAAAATCTTAACTGTATCCAAACCTGGACTAGCAAATATTTATAATTGTGCCTATCGCAACACTTAGTGTATGAGTAAGTCAGCGTGGCCTCAGGATTTATCTCATATGATAAAAGACAAGACCACTAAGAGTAGCCTTGCTTTAATTAAGCTAAGGATTATCATATTAACTTATTAAATTTTAATAATATTATTAATTTGAAGTAGTTTTATAGCTTTGAAAAAAGCTTCTTTAAAGGATATGTAGGTATATTTTCAAAATAAAATTTCTTCAATTTAAGGAAAACATTATGTTTAAAAAATTATTACCTGTATTGTCTTGTCTATGTAATTTATTGGTTTAAAATATAATTAAAGGGACATACCCTAAATTATTTTGTTTTTTTATAATAATTATATAAGATTTGATTATGATAAATTTATGATAAATTGATTATCTTTATGTAATAAGTAGTCCGTGGTAATGCTAATCAAATTGTCATAATCATTGATCAGTTCTAGATCTAAAACTCGATTCATTAGTTAGTTATGTGCTGAGTCAAGATTGCAAATGCAAATTAATTTGGGGTCAAATTTTAAAAAAGGCCTGCATTTTACTTTTGAAATTGGCTTAGCTGCTGATATTTCCAGTTTGAAGCACCTTATGAAACAACCTTTGATGTTATTCTTTGGACGTTAACTTCTGAAATTTATTGGTGTTATTGTTCTGGTTTGATTTTTTTAAAAATTGTTTTGATGCATTTGCAGCTGCCCCTGTCTCTCTTTGGGGGTACTGGAAACTACGCATCTGCTTTGTTCCTTACAGCTGCCAAAGCCAACCTATTAGACAAGGTTGAATCTGAGGTACTTGATGTTGTCGAAGCTTCCAAGAGGAGCCCTTTGTTCTCAAACTTCATTAAGGATCTATCAATACCTAGGGAAACCAGAGTAAAAGCTGTGACTGAAATTTTTTCTGAGGCTGGTTTTACTGATGTCACCAAAAATTTCTTGGGTAAGACATATAAATAGATTGCATCATGGGCTTGTTAAACACTTTACAAAAGATAGTTAAGTAGTCCATATACTATAATATTAATATGCATTGCTTGACTCATTTATTTTATGTTTTGTGGGAGCTACCTTGGAAGTTTTTTGTGATCCTCTATGTTCACTTGCTCATTTTGATGTATTGTTTTTGTTGTTATTAGGCATGAGTTGTTACTGCATGTAATCAGGAATGTGTTATAATTTATCATGTTTTGCATATTTCTATCAATCTGCATTATACATTTTTCTTCTGTGGTAAATTACTTTTGTAGTTTGGATATAGAAATCAATATACATATGCTTTTTTTATTTGACTCCCATTTTGTGCTTTAACCTTATCTTTTTCAATACACTGTTGACTTTTATATTTATCAATCAACATTGTAAGATTAGGACATTGTTGAATAAGCTATTAATATACTTGCAAGTAAAATTGGAACAATTATTATGCTACTGTGTTTTAACTCTTCCACTAAATGCTCCTTACACGGACCAACATATTTCAAACACAATTTATTTATCCTTCTTCACTTTTCATGACTTGCTACCTTTTAGGGCTCCATTTATGGAATAGGAAGCCTATATAAAGTGGTTCTGACGAAGTGGCTAAAATAACAAGTATCTGGAGCAATTTATGAAGGTTGTTTAGTTATATGTGGATTCTTTGTCATATCAACCATCCTAACAACTTGGTCCTTGTAGTGTATTTGATACTTTTTTTTTCAGGGACTTTTCTCACTATTCAAAACTTGCTACCTTTTAGAGCCCCTTTTATGGACTAGGATAAAGTGGTTCCGGCTAAAGTGTTAGAAATGATAAGCATCAGGGGTAAGTGATGCTTTACTCATAGAAAGTGTGGATTCTTCTTCACATCACCCCTCCTTTTTTCACTATTCAAGACTTGTAGTGTATTTGATACTTTATTTTTCGGGGCCTTTTTTCACTATTCAAGACTTATTACCTTTTAGAGCTCCTTTTATGGACCAGGATAAAGTGGTTCTGACTGACGTGGTAGAAATGATAAGCATCAGGGTAAATGGTGCTTTAGTCATAGAAAATGTGAATTCTTCTTGACATCGCGCCCCCCACAACCATGTTCTTGTAGCGTATTTGATACTTTGATGGACCTTTTTTAGCATATTTTTCCTTTTTTGTCTGTTTTAGTTACCTTTGAATTTCAAAGAAATGTGTTTTTTTGGTTCTGTTGATCAGCTTAGTGAGAACATCCTTTGAGCATGTTTTCTGTTGATTGAACTCATTGATGAGATTAGATTTTACAAGATGAAGTTGGCTCCAAATTTTAGTAAAGGTGCTTAAACTGCTTTTTTGTGTCTATATGTTGAAGTTGTCTTGGCTGAGAATGGGAGGCTGAAGTATTTAGAGCGCATTGCTCAAAGATTCGTTGATTTGACTATGGCACACAGAGGAGAAGTTAAAGTCATTGTAACTTCAGTGATTGTAAGTTCTTCCTCCCATGTTACTTCTGAATGATTAGTGTGGAGTTTATTGCTCAGCTATTAAGTATATAGTATGTAATTTGTTGTTAAATTTTGCCAGTATATTCAAAACCCTAACGTCTTTTTTCAACTTGTACACTAGATTTATTTCTTTATGTTTATTAAACCAGTAAACAGAGCATTAAAAAATCTGAATATTATGTCAGATTCCTTGCATTTGTTGTTGGCATTGCATAAATGCTTGAAAATGCTTGCACAAATGGCTATACTTTTCTGTCAAGCATGTTGCAGACCCGTGCAGACTAGGCGATTTTGGCACTAGCTTATTGTGAAAAAAATCTGATGTTCTAGTACCTGGAAATCACTCTGAAAATTTCAATATCTTTCAGCACTGTTACATGTCATTGCAAAATCTGTTTTGACATCCTAGTTTACTTTCTATTTTCATTTTGTTCTATCATTGTTGTACGTTTACAATCCAACAATTTGGTTTTCAATTATGGTACAAAAATTTTGGATGCAATTCAATTATGATAAGGTTATACGGTAATTCTTGAAAAATAGGATGTGAATCTGACAACCCACATTGTTGGACACATACATACATATTGTTTATATGTTTAAAATTTTATGTTGCATTCGAATGCAAAATCACAACATCAATTATCATATTCAGAATGAGAATTAATTAAAAATAGAGTTTCAATTTTTTAAAGTTCTTTTTTAGTTGATTTAGCATGTTTCATAATTTGAGGAATTTTTGACATCCTCAAGGAGTTCTCTTGGAGTTTTTGTTTTTCTCCTATATTTCTAAACCAGATTTATCGAGCAGACGTTATCTATTATTATCATCATCATTAAGCCTTATTCCAGATGTTGGTTTTAAGAATCTTCTTTCTCTATCCAATCTTAGTGTTTTTCTTGTGAGTTTTATAATTTCTATCCAAGTTGTTTGGTCAACTTACTTTTCTTTCTGAAGTCCTTTACATTAGTTATTTCTATTTACCTCATTAGTCCATCTTTTACCTTCTATTATATATTACCAGATCACTTAGTTTTTTTATATTTTAAATATTTTGGAGACATATGATATTTATTGATTTGGAGAAAGCTTATGATAAAGTTTAAGTAGAAGTGCTATGGAGAGTTTTAGAAAAGAAAGAGGTTAATAATACTTATATTCAAGTCATTAAGGATATGTATGCAAGAGCTATTGCTTGTGTTCAAAGACAAGGTGGTTTAACAAAGTATTTTCCTATTTCAGTTTGATTACATCAAGGATTAACTTTAAGCTCATATCTTTTTGCGTTAGTCATGGTTGTTCTACTAGACATTTGCTAGATGATGTATCTTGGTATATGTTTTTTTTTAAGTAAACTTGAATTATGGAGGTCAACTTTAGAGTCTAAATGTTTTCATTTGAGCAGATCTAAAATCAAATACATGGAGTGTAATTTTAGTTGTAATAGATCTAGTTGGGGGATTGTGACTTTGAGCACTCAATTCATTAATAAGAGTACACATTTTTAGATATATCGAGTCTATTGTTCAAAGTGAAATAGATGGGGATATTATTAGCAGAATTCAAATTGGATGGTTGAAGTGGATGAATGCATCAGGCTTGTTGTGTGATAAAAAAGTACCTCTTAAACTTAAGAGAAAATTTTATAAGATGGTGGTGAGATCTACAATGCTTTATGGTATAGAATGTTGGCTATTAAAAGAGAAGCATAAAATTAAGTTAAGTGTTGCAGAGTTGAAGATGCTCAGGTGGATGAGTGGCTTCACTCGTAGAGACAGAATCCAAAACAAGTATATATGTGAAAAAAGTTGGAGTAGCTCTCGTGGCATAAAACGCCGGCCTTTTGATGATTCGGTTAGGAGAATAGATATATTAGATTTGACTTATTGTTAAGAAAGATAGAGGTAAACCTAAAAAGACTTGGTTAGAAAATATTAGAAATGATTTTTTTATTAGATTTAATTGAGAATTTGACTCTTAACAGGACATAATGGAGAAAAATGATTCATGTAACTGACCCCATTTTATTGTTGTCTACAAATATTAGCATAAGTTCGAATTTTTATTGCGTCCTCCCACCTGACGTAGAGATACGTCCTCCCACCGCTAAAAAACTCGGTTTTTGCTCGGTATTGCTAGCTATTATTTGGTATTAACGAAGAATATCATCATGTGAAGACCAATACCGAGTTATACCGAGCAATACCGAGCAATACCGAGCTATACCGAGCAATACAAAAAAATACCTAGTTTTTCCTAGTTTTTCCCCCTGAACTAGATACCTTTGTTTACCATCATCTCTAGTGGAAATTTGAGTTCATCACTATGTGTTGTCTCAATCTTCTCTGTATTGGATAAATTAGGCAATTTTGGGAGTGGAGTTAGGCTGGGGTTCTCACCAGGTGGGTTCACACAAGACTTATTATTTCGTGGAATAGGAGGGTTACATTCTGGACCTTCGAAGGTTACAAGGTCTTCGATGTTAACATAGGATTAATGTTAGAACCTTCAAGAAGGTCTGCCACGTAAGCATTACTACTTAATTTTGCTGTTATTTGAAAGGTCCAATGCTTCTAGCATATAACTTTTATAACGGTCCCTTGTGGGAACCGCTCCGGACAAATCCGAACCATTACAAAATCTCTATTATCAAATTCTTTGAACCGTCTCTTGAGATCGGCAGTAAGTTTATGACTGGCATTGCTTTGATTATTCTTTTTATTAATATCCTTACGCAGTTCTTGAAGATGATATGCCAATGTGGATGCAAGAGAATCGGTGTGTATGATGAATGACAAGACTCATGAGCTTACAAACTAAAGTTTGAAACATAGACAAATTAGGAAGACAACAGACTACAACACACACACACAACGTACGAACTCACATGAACACGTAGCTATAACAGGTGGACGAGTCACAAAAGAAGAGGTCTAAAGTGTTCGGTCTAAGGGAACTGGTGTAGGGGGAGCAATGAAGACATCCTTAGCTAAAAGGGCATCTCCATAGGGCGTTTCAGCTCAGGTTACAGACAGTCTCCTAGCGAAGGTAGGGTAATCTATCAAAGTCATCCAACTAGGAGAGAGAATATTCTTACTAGGGAAGGATAAGGATATCGAGGGCATAATGTAGGAATCAGGAATATGATAATACGATGGGTCATGACTTACTACCATAGTAGGATAGCCCAAAGAGTGACTAGCAGGTATGGGACTCAAGAGATGGGGTAGGGTATCCCTAACAGAATTGGGTACAACAGTTAGAAATGTGACCTGAAAGTATAGGCTAAGATTCTCTCTAACATTAAAGTCAGTATGAGGAGTGGTGAGATAAATCCAATCAAGAAAATCACACTACTTCAAATGCAATTCTAAAGGGGCAACTCCTAAAATAGACTCCAAAAAAACACGAGGATGCCCAATTTCCCAATTAGGTTCAGAACCACTCAGGGTCAAATCACTATCTTCCCAATTTGTACTAATATTCTCAATATGATGAGGTAGGGTCATAAGCTTAAGATTAATGGGTTCCGATTCATTTAAGTCAGATGATAGTCTCCATTGATTCACTTCCAACTCGAAATTATCTGCGTTGCCATCAGAATTATCAAAAATTGAATCAGAATTACTCATAATCATCTCAGCAGGAGATATGATTAAGTCAGAATCTTTTGAATTTAATTTAAATGGGTTCAAGGTCAGATCAGTTTCTTTTGAGATCAACTTAATATCGTCCAGGCAGACTTTATCCAAGGAGTTGTCCTCGAGGAGACTAGGATCGGGGTGGGTTAAGGTGTCGACGTTTAAAGGTTCTAGCTTTCCTAGCTCAGGGTTTAAGTCATTCTGGGAGTCTGATTCAACCACTTCTGTTCCATCCTCAAAGAAGTCTTCGTTATCTTTAATATCATTAGCATCCACGAAATGGATGCACTCAGTTTTAGGTCAAGGACTGGGGAGGCTAAAGGTTGACTGGGATGGCTAGAAGTGGGTCCTAGTGGGGAGTCATAAAAGATTGATCTATCAGAATACCCAATAGAGGATCGGCCATTAAGGTTAGGTGAAGATCTACAGGGTGGGGCAGCAACCCTGATGTTACTAAATGATGGTTGGTTTCGACTATAGTGATGTCCATGATTTGTCCCAACAAAGGAGGTAGGGTGATGCTCTAGATGACGGTCACTAGTAGAGGGCTGGTATTTCAAATTAAGTTCTCGTCTCATGTCTTTCCAAGTAAGGTACTCACCGCGAGATTCTTTATGATCTTCCAATCTTGTCCAAAATTGAAGAGCTCGACCTTTAAGGTGAGACTTAGCAATGCTAATCTGACGGGACTCAGGGACATGTCATGATTCAAAATATTCCTCTAGTTGTCTAACCCATTCCCTAAGGTAGTGAGGATTTGAGGAACCATCAAAGGTAGGTAAACGGTACTGTGACTCTAAGTGAGGTCGTGGAAGCTTAGGCTCAGGTCTCGGGTGATAAGCTGAGTGGGGCATGTAATTAGAGTGGGGATAGTCAACGGGTTTCTCCGTCATAATTCTAGTCATATTTCCCACTAGGTTAACGATGTCATCTAAACTCTTTTGGAGTCTTATCGGGTCCATTGAAAAGTGTCAAGTGAAACCTAGTGAAGATTGGGTGCAAGGTACCAAACTCTACAAAGGGAAAATACCATTTCGACTTGCTACAAGGTGCAGGAAAAATACTGGACAGTAAGCTTCTAGAAGGGTTTAAGTCACCCGGTGTTTAGGAAGGTTGCTAAGGCTTGGGCAGCACCTAAACACTAAGTTAAACTCTTCTAAAATGACACTATAAGGTGCAGATTTTGTTTGGACAGCAAACTTAAATGAGGGACGAAGTTATCTAAGCAATTTAGATGGACTCTAGGGTGTGGACAGCAAGTTATCACAAGTTTAATGTCACCTAAATGTCACTAAACAGTGCAGGAATTTAGTGGACAGCAAGTTAATTCAATAGTCTAAGTGGCCTAGACAAATATAGATGATATGGAGATGATGGCAGCACTCAAACAAGGAGATATGCTCATATAAAATGAAGTAACTACTGCAGATTTTCGGGACAGCACAAGGAAAACAGAAGTTAAAACTATCTGAATGATATTATGCATGCAAATGACTAAGGACAAGTCAAATTAGACTCCTAGGATGCATCTAGCACATGTAAAGCATGCTAGCCATGCTCTGATACCAAGATGATGTTAAACGTAATGCATGGAAACAAGAACTGCTTGGGGATTTCAATATAAGATTGTTAAAGCTTTGCTAGTTATAGAATTAATGCTTACCCAAATTAAGTTCTCGAAATTATCAAGTCGAAATTAAGGCATGTGGTTACAACTAGATTAATGGGACAATATCAAATTGACAACATAGAATTAGATAGTAATGTTATGGAGAGAAACAATAATCCACAATTAACAGATAGAACTTTTCACCTTGGGTCTCTCACTCACTCTCTTGTTGGTGACACTTTTAATGGAGGAAGACTGAGAGCAACCGAGCGATGCCACTAGGAGACAAATGGCGCACAAAGTGTAGTCCGTTGGAGTGGTAGCCGGTGGCGGATAGTCCATGGGATGACTAGTGAGCATCCAACGTCTTATACGTTCTTCCTTGATCATCAAAGACGAAGCCGCGGTCGATGTCGGGATCGGCCGTCCATGGATGTGGAGAACTCTCTTCTTGAGCCCTTGAGATGCTTGCTTAGAGAAAGGCTCCCAAGAAAACAAAAATTGAAATCTGAAATAATTTCAGTTTTGGAAGAGGGGAGGGGAATTAATTTGATGAATTCAAAATAATTCCAAAGGGGGGATTGATGGGGGGCAGCAATGGGAGGAAATTGGGCTGATTTATTGGTGTAATTATGTCATTTGGAAGAGAGAGAAGGACAATAAAGGGGGCCGGCCATATGAGGATAGGAGGAGAGATTAAGAAGCTATGAAGGTGGGGCCCAAGTTTAAGTAAGTAATTGAATTAAATCTGATTTTTTTTTTATTTCAGATTTAATTGTGGCTTAAGTAACTTCACAAAACTTCAAATGAGAGGGAATTCAAATTTGAAATTTGAATTTGGCTTTAATCTCATTAATGAGCTTGTTAATGAATGAGCACCAATTAGGAAGGTGTTTATTCAAGGGAATAAAAAATTCAATTGCTGGAATTCAAGGTGGGGAGGCGGCAGGAAGGGGGCGGCTGGGCTGGCCGACGGGAGGCTGGCCGGTGGTGGCTGTTTTTTTTTTTTGGCTGGGGGGGGGGCAAGGTGGCCGGCGGCTTAGGGCTGCTTGGAGTAGGCGGCGGCAAGGGCAATGGGGAAAAAGAGATGGAATTTTCTGGGGATTTGACGACTACGAATTTACTAACCTCAAATGTCTTCTCGTTGAATTTCCACAAGATTAGCTAGCACGAAAGCTAGAACTCACAAAGAGATCAAGTCTTCTCCGGCGAACTCACTAAGAGATCTTGGAGGGAGGAACTTACAAAGAGAACAAGTAGTAAATTTCATTTCATCAAAAACTAACTAGTACATAAGAAAAGAGCCATATATAGGCCTCCAAATGACAAAGAAAATAAAAGACTAAAATGCCCCTTGGGCTACAATAGCGACCAAATACACATAAGGGCAAAAGCGGAAAAAACTAAAAATAACATAAACTACTATATGAAATGACTCAAAATAAAACTCATGATCGTAAAAAAAAAATAAACTACTAAATAAAATGACTCAAAATAAAACTCATGATCGTGGCCGTCGATCTCCGGCATCTCCTGATGGTACATGTGTCGAAATCTCTGACGATGTCCTCATCATAGTTATTTTGGCTTTCCCGTTTCTAGTTTTGACTAATGGGGCCTTATTCTTATTTTGTGTCTTTGCAAAATAACCTGTCTTATGTTTTCTTATGCCTTCCAGAATCTATTGAATGTTTGAAGTTGGGGATATGTGCCTGACCTTGATTTTTAATCTCTCTGAGACAACAAGACATTTTTTCCCCAATAGTTGTTGAACTCAATTGTAATTCATTAATTCTATCAAGATATTAACGTTTGAGTGCTATTATGAGAAGTAAAAGGACATTATATTTATGTAGATCATCATCAATCCTAGTCCAACTATTAGGGGTTGGCTTTCTAAATCCTTATTTTTCATATTCATTTGTACTTGCTGTTGCTTCTAGTGTAGATATGCACCTTAATAAAGAGGGCAAACCGCGCCAGCCTCTCCTCACAAAACAATTTTAGCAGAAATCAGGAAAGAATATGAATTGTTAGAGATGTATAATTTATGATTGGAGGTATAGTTTTATGCAATCCTACATTGCTGAGGCCAAGAATTAGCAGTAGTTTTTTTATTTATATCGGTAACTCCAGTTACTGAATTGTCACTATAAGCAATAATCTATATGAACTAGATCTTAAAAGCTTTACTAATTAATACACTTATGTAGTATCAGTTTGATTTCTGTCAGCATTTGCTATGGAAGTTATTATTAGTGAAAAGATGGTTATGATGATTGTTTCACATTCTTTTGAAGCTATTGAGATTTGAAAATTAGCTATTTTAAGTGCACAATGGTACTTCCAAGGGAGGGTTTGTAAATGGAGGTTCTGGAAATGATTATTCTATGATGTTCTCCTTACTTGAGACTCGAAGTTGAAAGCCTGATTGATTATTAACTCTTCTAAGTTGTAAATATTGGGATGTTTGCATGACATGCTCACAGGAGGATCTCTCCGTCTTCCCCATGCATTTTACATACTTCTTTGGAGGACTTTCATTTACATTTGCAGCTTGATCCTGTGTTCATAACAAAAGGGCTTGTTTTATTTAAAATACTTGAGACTTTTCTGATGCTGGAAGCCTTGATAAATAATTCTGAACTAGTTCTAGTCCTTTTTGGCACGAGGAGGGCACATGGTAAGGATTAGGGGTGTAAACGAGTCGAGTCGATTCGAGTATTTGCCTTATCAAGACTGGCTCATTTAATCCTTAATGAGCTCAAGCTCGAGCTCGATTAGTGGGCTCGAGATCGACTCGTTTAGAAAATATCAAGCTCGAGCTCGACTCGAAAGCTCGAGCTCGTTTGAAAAGCTCGAGCTCGAGATCAAGCTTGTTTGAGAAGCACCAACGAATGTGATGTGTATTATTATATACAAAAATAATATTATAAATATAATATATAAAATTATATCGAGTAGCTTGATAAGCTTTTGAGTCTAGTCGGGTTGAGCTCGAACTCGAGCTCGTTTATCATACGAGCTCGATTGTAGGCTCGAGCTCGAGCTCGATAAGCTCGGTTCGCGAGCTCGTTAACGAGTCGAGTTCGAGCCGGCTCGGCTCACTTACAACCCTAGTAAGGATAATTATTCTGTGCGGACACCGGACGCCGTCCGTAGGCAAATCAGAGCACGCAACGTCGCCTCTTTGTTGTGTATTGAGGCTGTCTACCGATTGACGTGGCACGCTTCTATTCGCCTCAGGACACAGAATTACGTCCAGCGTCCACACATAATAATTTCTCCACGGTGAAGTAGTTCTTGGAACTTCGGGTTTCTCTGGTATTTGATTGCTGCTTTGATCATGTTGCTTTTCTATTAGCTCAATAGCACCGCAACATTTGTTTATAACAGCAAACCCAATCGATGCACGTTGGCATCTGAGATTATAAATTTTCATCACATAATAATCTTTATAGCTCTTTCTTCTGATTAATAACCTCTTCTTCTTTTCTGAGTAAAAGTTTAATTTGCTTAACTTCTATTTTTTCTTCAGCCACTCCCTGAGCAAGAGGAAAAAGAGCTGAAGCAAACGCTGCAAAATATCTTGGGTGCGGGCAAGACTGTTAAACTTCAGCAAAAGGTATTCTTTTAGTCATTTTGATATTAATCTGTTTTTCTTTGATCAGAATTTAGAACTGATTTTACTTCTTTTTTTTTTCTTGTGCTGAGCTGGAATAGTGAGGAATTGTATATTCTTGTGTTTCACATTTTAACAAATAATTCTTGGCCATTGCTAGTCAGGCGTTAATTTTTGGGTGAAACTCAAGTGTTTTCCTTGAAACTCTTTGGCTTCGTTAGGGACAGCTTTTTATTGCTTTATAAAATAGCTTTTTAGTACAAAAATTTCTTGAATTATAAATTTTTACATTAAAAAACAGTTTTAGAAAGCAGTACGAAAGTTGTCCCAAACGAAGTCTTAGAATATTATATTTAAAACTAAACTTTACTAAAGCTATTTGAGGATTTGTCAAAATTCTACTAAAATCATATCACTAATGTCACATTAATTTTAATGACTATTATACTTTGATCCCACTTTGGTGTCGCTTTTTATTTTATTCCTAAAATGTACTTTTTATATTGTTGTATGTTAAAAAATTAATCAAATTGAGAAAATTATCAAAGCTAAAAATCATTCCCTATCATGTATGCGGAATTTTCTTTTTCCCCCTCTATCAAATTTTGATATCAGACATTTTCTCGTAATCATATCGTTCAAAACAAAAACAAATCCAATTGTTTGCATATTCTCTATTGCAAACCCATATGCTTATTCACTCCCTACATGTCTTGCTCGTGTGATTGTCGAATACTTGCATGCTCCATACAGGAGTGCTGCACTTTGCGTGAATTGCATGCAAATGCACATCCCTGGCACTCCCGATGACCCGTTTAGGAGACCAGATGTATTATATTTAACCTATTTTAAGGGTAGAGGTAGACCTAAAAAGACTTGGTTAGAAAATATTAGAAATGACCTTTCTTCATCAGATCTAAATGAGAATTTGACTCTTAACCATGGAGAAAAAAAGGATTCATGTAGCCGACCCCACGTAGTGGGATAAAGGTTTGATGGTGTTGTTGTTGTACATCCCTGGCACTCCTGCCCCGCACATTCTTCCCTGCGTATGCACTCGTCACCATCATTGCAACCCTAATTACAGATTGTGATCTCATGCTTGCAAATTGCCAACACCAGTTGCTTCACACACATTACTGTACATGTTTGTGCTTTCATCGTTCATAGGCTTGCTCCAACTCATCCTCTACACATGCATACCTTGTTGTCATGCTTCAAACCATGGCTTTACAATCATGCAGGTTTATGAGTAGCTCTTTTTGCTTTATTCATTATTGTTGTGAGCGAATTACACCTTCTGTAGCAATAACTCTACAACATCATGCTACCTTTGTTACCCTCCCATTTAGTCTGGTGTCATCTTTAGCAGTTCTTTTCCCTACCAACCTGATCGCAAGACGAACGCATTCACAAGAACTAGGGGTTTAAGTGAATCAGGCCGACTCACGAGGTCGCTCGAGTTTGACTCGATAAACGAACTGAGCTTGATGAGCTCAGGAGCCGAACTTTGAGCTAGTCTTGACTTGACTCGTTGGCTTGCAAGTTGTATTTTTTTAATAATATTAATATAAAATACACTTAAAATATATTAGAATTCAGGTGTTTAATTATAAATCTATTGAAAATATTTCAAAAATATATCTCATTTCTTTATATCAAATGATTATTTATAATTTATTTTTAGCATTTTATTGTAATAATTACTTGAATCATAATTATTTTATCTCTCATAACAAGTGAGCTGGCTCGTGAGCCGACCCGAACTTGTAGAATTAAGGTCGAGGTAGGGGTGTCTTGAGCTCGACTTGACTCATTCACGCCCCTAATGGCAAACTTTTTTTTCCATCGCCCGCTCATCGATGACCTTTGCAGTCACAAATAGCATCTAATGTTCGATGCTACTGCCACAAGGTATAACGTCTGCTGATATTTGGATAATTTTCATATATGTGGCAAATCTTAAAACTTTGCATGTACAGTTGATTAGTTGATATCCACTAATGGTTAGGTCAGCCATCGTTCTTCAACTTACCATACCTGATGAGGGATACAAATTAAACTGAGTGCTCCACAAAATATCAGCATACTTACTACTGTGTTCTTGAATTAATTTATATTCTTAATACTTAGGGTATCTCCAACCGAAAATCCCATTTTCCAATCTAAAATACTGTAAAATTTCAAAATACGGTAGTTCATCTCCAATGAAACTCCATTTTTCTTTTTTCGTGCGCTTCTTTGCGAAGGTCACCATCTCTCTCCTATTTCGTGCGCTTCCTGCAAAGCTAAGCTAAGAGATTTGGAGTTTGAATGCAGCGATTCGCGGATGGCATACAATGGTAGGCAATTTGGTTGGAGATGATCTTAGAAGTGCTGAACTTGATTTTTATAGTGAAAAAGTTTTAGTAGGGCTGACTTGTTTATTTCTCTGTTCAATTAAGCCTTTATCAGCTGCAATTTTGACATTGGAACTACCTGTTTGCATTGCTCATCTCCTATCTCCTATCTTTCAGATTGATCCCAGAATTCTGGGAGGATTGGTGATCGAGTTCGATCAGAAGGTCTTGGACATGTCGATAAAGACGAGGGCGAAGCAGATGGAAGAGTTCTTGAGACAGCCTATCCATTTTAGTTGAACTTAGAGCAACCTGGAGCTGAAATTACAAGCCAGCAACTCCTGTTCAGCCCCCTTTTGCATGCTTTGTTTTTTTTTACTTGCTGCTTTGATTGTTCAGAATAAGAAAAGAATTTCATAACTGGCCTTTCTTTTCTATCTCCCTATGATGCTTTTGAGCTCAAAATATTTCTAGATCTCCATATTATGTCTTTTTCTGTTGTTCCTTACTGTGACTGTACTTATTTGAACTCTTGAATTATAAACAATTGTGTTGCAGTCCTTATTGTATTAGCTGCTCGTTAGATGGAGAAATTATTCTATGCGGAGGCCGGACACAGAACGTCATCCGGAGATCAATTAGATTGTGCCAAGTCAGCAATCTCGAGCCATGGTACCGAGTCCCGGTACCGAGCGAAGGGGTGATGTGACACATTTTGGTTGGTCTTCCAACGGCGTTCGACATCCGCACGAAATAATTAATCCATCAGATGAATATCCTATGTGTGTTTAAAAAAAAAAATATCCTGTGTGTTTGAGTTTCGTTTGAGACATTTTTTATTGTTTTTTAAAGTAAAAATAAAATTTTTTGAATTCAATAAGCATTTGTAAATCTCATAATAGCTCTTTGACAATATATATAGTTAGCAAATTGAATAATATTTGGTTGGATATTGTAGGTTTAAAAAATTGTTGCTCATTTAAAATCATTGAAAAAAGAGGGATTTGCATTAATACCATAAATTTTTTGGAAATTTACATATCTAATATTTAAACTTTAATATTTACCTATATAATCATATGGTGTTTAAATCATGCTAATATATATATATATATTTTGTAATTAAGACAAATTAAAAGAAAAAAGTGCTTACAAAATATAAAATAAAATATTTATAAAATAGCGTTAATAATATATTAATTCATCAAGTTTTTAATATTGCATTCCTCAATTATTAAAAAATAAAATAATTTTGTAGTATTAAAAATATTTAGAGATTTTTACATATGTATTTTTAATAATTTTAAGTGTTATGTATGTAAAAATCTCAAATATTTATATAATCTTTATTAATAATTTAATATTCGATCGAGAAGATAGGGAGAGAAGAAGAAGAACGGGGTCGGGCGGAGGCCGGCGGATATCGGAAAATGGAGTCGGCTTCCGGTGCGCGGAGCTGTGGTCGAATACCTTAATCCCATCCGACATGGCTTCCGGATCCGAATCCATTAACCAGTTCAAAGGTGAAGTTCTACTATTGATTCATCTCAACCTCCTGCCTTTCCAACAAAAAAAAAAAAAAAAAAAAAAACAAATGAAATCACTTACGATTCAGGCATTAAGGTAAACCCTAGCTTCTTACCTGCGATTCCTCCTTCGCTTCCCTGTCTTTTGTTTGAGTTATAGAAACTTGACTGCAATGAGACTTTTACTTCACTTCTATTTAGATTGTATCATTTTTCTTAGTCAATGTGATGTTACTCAGGATTTATGAATGATAATTATAGATTAATATTATTATTTTGGTTGTTATTAGCAGGCTGATAGATATTAGATGTCGTAAATTAGACTAAAATTTCAATTAATCAAAATCGAATTTAAACATTTTTTAATTATTATTTAAAGGTATTGATACATCATCAAAAAATTATCTTGATCGGGCACGAATCTCGAGGCAAAAGTAAGTTGAAAACTTCCGAAATTAAATTGGAACCATCCGAACTCCGATTTCAACAAATTTACAGTCAAATTGAATGTCTCGAAAATACGAACTCAACAATACCAAATTCGACTCAATCTGAGCCCAAATGAGTCCAAATCAAGGACCCAAAGTGATGTTGGAATGTTCGAACCACAATTTGGATTACCAAACGATTTCAAAACATTACGTGCTTATAGTAGAATCGAGCGGCTCGACGAGGAGAATCCAACGAGCCCAAGATCGCCAAATTTCGACATCACTAAGACCTTCAAATGTCTGACGAACGGTCTATGATCAAGGGATTCAATATCGGTCGTCCATCCAACCACTTCCCAAGTACCATTGATCTCTCACCTATTTACGGGCCATGCCACTCCAAAAATCTATAAATAAACCCTCCTTTCTTTTGAGAGGAGGCTCCAAGCAAGAAGAGAAGAGAAGGAAGAAGCTCCTCCTCGACCACCTCTTGAGTTCCGTCGGACCACCGCCTGACGTCATTGCTCCGCCGGACCACCACATGAGGCCCTCACCTTCACCGGATCACCACTTGAGTCCCTCGCCTTTGCCGGACCACCACCTGAGGCCCTTACATTCGCCGGACCATCACTTAAGGCCCTTGCCTCCGCCGGACCACTGTCTGACATCGTTGCTATGTCAGACCACCACTTGAGGCCCTCGCCTTCGCCGGACCACCACCTAAGGGCTTGACTTCCTCCGGACCACCACTTGAGGCCTTGTGCTCCACCAGGTTACCACCTGAGAACCGCACTTCAGTCGGATCACCACTTGAGACCCTGTGCTCTACCAGGCCACCACCTGACGCCCAGACTTCCGCCGGACCACAGTCTGACGTCGTTGCTCCGCCGGACCACCACTTGAGGCCCTCACCTCCACCAGACCATCATTTGAGGCCCGGGCTTCTCCCGTACCACCACCTAAGGCCCGAACTTCGGTCGAACTACCACATGAGGTCCGGATTTCCGCGAGACCACCACCCGAGGCCCGGACTTCCGCGGGACCACCATCTGAGGCCCGGACTTCGGCCAGACCACCACCTGAGGCCCGGACTTCGGCCGGACCACCACCTGAGGCTCGGACTTTCGCCGGACCACCACCTGAGGCTTGGACTTCCGCCGGACCACCACCTGAGACCCAGACTTTTGTCGGACCACCACCTGAGGCCCGGACTTCTGGCGGACCATCACTTGAGGCCCAGATTTCTGTCGGGCCACTACCTAATGCCTAGAGTTCTACCAGAGTACCGAACTACTACAACGATCTTTCTGACCCCATTCTTCGGCCAACTACGATCTTTTGGACCCCTGTCTCCTGCCGACTATTGTCTTTTTTGGCCTCTATCACCTGCAACGGTCCTTCCGACCTACATCGCCATATAATGGTCTTTCTGACTTCGATCTCATTCATACTACGGTCTTTCCGACCTCTATCCTATCAACTATGATCCTGCCAACCAAACAAACATGTCTATGTTGATTATTGTAACTCCCATAGTATAATACGCTCTATATGATGTACATTTGTGACATCAAGCCAAGGCCTTCTCCCTAAGAAGGGCCTCATTTGTAATTAATTGCAAATACTAATGGATTCATTCAAACTGGGTTAGGCCCTGTGATTTTTTCCCCTTTTTCAGGGGTTTCCACATAAAAACTCTGGTGTCTCTTATAAACGCTACACCCTCTATCTTATCTTCTTGTGTGCTGGATCTTCGTACAACGCTAAGATGCTAAATTCCATATTTCTCTACCGCTGCGAATACTCCAGGACGCAACAGGTATCATTAGATTAAGTGGAAGTTTTTCTTATAAGCATATTAGCCTGCACTTATTGGTCCTTTTAGCTTCAAATCAGATTCAAACTATTGTATTTTCTCATTGCATAGAAATGCAAACCTTGGGTGTGTATGTATAATTAATTAACATTTCAATGTTCAAACTACTTGCTCAAGATCAATTATATTTTAGATATGATATTTGATTGAAGTTCGTCAATGTAAGCTGGTTGTGTATCATATTTGCTTAAAAACTTGGATTTCTGTGGTTCATAGTGAGCATATATGTTATTAATGATCGCCGATTGAATTTTATAGTGTTTCAAGCCATTTAGAATTTGACAGGGAATTCTTTGACAAAGTTTTTTTTTAATCGAGACTTTTGCCATTTTTAGGATTAAGCCTAGATTATTGAATGAGATTTGTTGTGAGACATGATAAAAAATTGCTCTATGAACTAGCATATATTATTGAATGTATATTTACTCTTAAAAATGTGTATATCTTGCATGAAAATTAACAATGTTTTTTAATTTTGGTATTTATTAAGCATGTCTCAATTTTGGTAAGATTTGTTCTGGTTTGCATACAAAATTTGATGTAAAAGAGGTTCATAAAGTACTTTTTGAGCCTCCATAAATGCTATTTTATGGGGATTTTCTTATGATTCTTTCTGATTTGAAGTAATTAAAAGAATGGAAATAAAAATGGTGAAGGAATTGAATTGAACTTAATTTTTGCATAATTATATTATTCATTATAAGTTGAATTGAAAATACTTTTTTAATTTTTTGGTTATGTTGATGAGAAATTGAGTTTTTGCTTTTTATGATGGAGCAATAGATGAGTCAAATAATAATATGATTGGATAAGTACTTGCCAACAAAAAAATAATAATTATTCACATTTGTATGCAAATTTAATTATCTATTGGTTACATTGAAATCAAACAAAGAATATTAAGTTGTGAAGTAAAAAAGAAAAATTATTAATTATTAATATTTAAGCATATATATATATATATATATATATATATATACAGAAGCCCAACAGACACCAAGGAAAGAGCTCGGCATGCATCAGACCGGTGACATCAGAAGCAAAGGAAACTACCGATGATCATGGAAGAGATGGGAAGCCTAACACGTCTAGGGGAAGGGAAAAGCCAGAAGTGGAGATCCTGGAGGGAGAAGATGAAATGCCTCCTCTAAAACCACTTTCTAGGGAGGAGATGAGCATTGGCTACGCAAGAAGGGGTGCTGAATTTGTAAGGCTAATTTCGATCGCCGGGGTGCTAATTTTGAAAGAAGATGAGGGGATTTTGATGAATGGTTTGGGTATGATCGTCGGAGGGAAGATCGTGACAATTGGAGAGCACATACGCTTCAAGGAATGGGAGGTTATAAAGGATTTAGGGAAAACAGGTGTGACCCGAGGGTGAGAAAACTGAAGATGCCAATTTTTGAGGGGGAGAATGCATACGGGTGGATCTACAAGGTAGAAAGATATTTCACCATCAATGGGCTGATAGACGAGGAGAGATTGATGGCGGCAGGCCTATGTTTAGAAGGGAAGGCTTTGTCTTGGTATCAGTGGAGGGACATGCGACGACCCATACGGAGTTGGAGAGAGTTTAAGGATTATTTGGTAGAACGTTTCAGAACGGGAAGGGGAGGAGACTCTTACGAGCAGCTCTTGGCCTTGAGATAAGAGGGTTCAGTGACGAAGTACGGGAGAGATTCGAGTACCTTGCGAGCCGATTGGACTGCCTTTCGGAGACAGTGCTAGAGGGAAACTTCATGAAGGGATTGACACTAGAGATCTGAGCAGCAGTCAGAATAATGAGGCATCGTGACTTGGGAGAGGTTATGGAGCTAGCTCAATTGGTGGAAGATCAGAGGCACCTGGAGGGAGAGACAGGAGGTGGCAGCTCAGGAGGCTTGCACAGGATGACCACCATTTTATTGAAATCCAAGGAGCCAACACCATATACTATTTGGAGGACTTCAAAGGAAAAGACTACAGGAGGAAGACCTGGGGACAGTTTCAAGAAGCTCACTGAGACATAATTACAAGAAAAGAGGGCGAAGGGGCTCTGTTTCAGATGTGACGAGAGGTATACGTCGGGGCAGATGTGTAAGGACCGAACTCTTCAGGTTCTTACTATTTGTGATGAAGAAGGAGGATGTCGTCCTTCCACCTTGCATACAAGGTGGATCTTTGGGAGGGGAGTATTGTTAGACTGGTCCACGCAGGACCGACCTGAGAACAAACAAGGCGGACTGCCTCCGCGACCGACCGCAATGTAAGCACTGGAGGATCATTTCAGGAAGGATTTTTTTTGGGTTTTGGGAGGAAAATCTGAATGTAGGGACTGTTTAGGGATTTCCTTTTGATTTGTATGCATTAAATACTTTGTTTTCCTAGGGTAAGGGCATCTTGAATTTGACTGAAATTTGAGATCTCTTAGATTTAGGTTTTCTTTGGGCTCTAGCGGCGTCTAGAGATTTGGGAGAGATCGATCCTCCTCTCGAATAGAGGATCAAGTGTATCCTGCTATTTTCCGTTTCGCTTTCATCAAATAATACAAATTATCTACTATTTTTGTGATTTTGTGTGAATTTTTGTGAAGAATTCTCGCTGTTTGTAGAAGATTGATAGGAGATACTTGCGATCTACAAGTACTTCCTATCATAATGCTCCATCATATTTATCTTGAATAATTTCAACATGCTTTTGATGTATATCGTTCATCTTTAATTAATACTAAATTAATTCTAATAATACTTGATTTCATATCTTCTTCAGGTCAATAAATTTATATTAATATCCATTCTTTTTTCTCCGTACTTCTTCATTAATTGTCTTAACATAAAAATTGGTTGCTCGCATGACAATAAATTGGTCCTCAGACATTGATGTAGTTTTCCTTGAAGTGAAACCAAACTGGTCTTGACAGTAGAATTAAATCCACAACTCAGTTGTGTTTTTCATTCATATCCTGTTTAATTATCAAAAGCTATACCCACCAAAATCTCGATGCTCATTATTTTGGTGATCCAGATGATGAAACTATTTTTCAAATATTAATATACCTGCAAGCTTGCCAATTATCGTTAAAAACAAAACTCCTGTGTATTCAGCTCTGTTAGGTATTTCTGAGTTCGGCAGTTCAATTTCAGGATTTGTTGTTTCTTGGCTGTGTTTCATTAAGGCTTCGTTAGGGACAATTTTCTAATTTAAAATTTTTGTACTCGAAAGTTGTTTTAAGAAGCAGTAAAAAAGCTGTCCCAAATGAAGCCTAAGATTTATCATTCTTCTGCATCTGCTGGTTATCAGTTTGGCAAACCTTGCCTTTTCTTAACACACCCTTCCAGCTTCAAGTTGGTTCATGTGGAACTAAAGGTGTAAAGACTATATCTTGAAGAAACTTTATTTTTTGTGGGGTTAGAGCATCTCATAAGTATCTTTTCTTGAAGAAAGAAGTCTTCTGACAGATCTATACTTTACTAATTGCGTGCTTAATTCTCACTTTGTATGCTTTTCTTCTTTTTTTTTTCCATTTGGTTCTCCACTCAACCATAAAGGCTGACTCTCACTTTTTTTTTTAGCTTTATACAAATCAAATCATGTAATCCTTGGGATAACTATAGCTATAACTTGCATCATTATGTGTTTAGTCTGTCTTTCATGAGGCAATCACCTCTCACTTTTGTTTCTTTTACCTCATCCTCTCTCTCCCTCTCTCTCTCTCTCTTTGCTTCAATGGCCTTAAGTACACCTGTTACATCAGTTCCAGGATACCAAGATCAGGCCTCAGTTAATTCCTACCATAGCTCTGGATCAATCGGTCTGTTCATAGCGGTGATGTTTGTGATAATAGTTCTTGCTGCGCTTTCCTGCATCTTTGGAAGAGTTTGCGCTTCTGAGATGGCAGAGGGTCCAGATTCATCTTATGATTGCTTGAGTTGGGTACGGCGAAGTTATCAGCGCAGCAGATGTGGTTTTAGTCATTGCATCATGAGAGAAGCAAAATTGGATTTAAGGGTTAAAGAGGGCTCACAGTTTTCCCCTCCATCTTCACAGCCATAAGGTCTTGTAACTTGTGAGGGCATGCATGTTAATATTCCTTTGTTTTTTAGTTCATCTGGTTATAGTTTGCAATTTGTACAGCGGGCTTGGATGCTAATTTTTTTTTTTTTTTTTATGTTCCTTTGCTTATGAACTACTTTGGTTATTATTTATCCTCTCTTAAGATGAAGATTGCAGAACTTAAACTCCATATTCCCAGTTTTTTTTTTTGTTCTCTGCTAGTTATTTTAAAGGATTGTGGACTCCAGTTGAATGTTGATGAAAATATTTGTACCATATCTTAAATTTGCAACCATCCCAATCAAGAGCATGGTTACGGGGTCCAAACGAGTCGAGTCGAGCTCCAGCCAAGAGGTGTTCGAGTCAAGCTCGACTATCAAATACCGAGCTCGAGCTAGACTCGTCTTCATGTCGAGCTCCGCTGTTGAGCTCGTAGTTACGTCCGCTGTCGAGAACAGTCGTCCTGAGCTCATCTGTCGTCTTCCCAAGCTCCGTCATCGAGATCCATCGTTCCGAGCTCGTCGTCCCAAGCGTAACCGTCGTCGTCCCAAGCATAATCATCGAGTGCTCGTCCGTTGTTGTCCCGAGTTTGCCGCCTGCAAGCTCCGCTATCAAGTTGCTCAAAGAGCTGCCGAGTCGAGCAGCGGCCTGTTCGAGCTCGAGCTCGATAAGCCATCGAGGTCGAAATCGTGTTCGAGCTCAACTCGCGAGCTCATAAGCTCGACTCGTTGAGCCTGTTACCGAGTTGAGTCCGAGCCGGTTTGACTCCTTTGCACCCCTAAGCATGATCAAATCATGTTATGCTTGACTCAAGTTCAAGGGCTTATTTGGTTGGACTATTTGTCCAGATAGATGTTAAGTTAATCTTGAAAACCTGTTCTGAAAACACTTACAATTCCTCTTTTTTTTTTTAGAATTTTTATTCATAGCCTTGAACTCATGACCTTCAAAATGGAGCTAAAACTCCCAGTCAATAGATTAAAATGCCCTTCAAAATTTTGTTCCAAAACATTCTGCTTCTGTTTTGCGGTGCTAGACAATAGAAAACGGTGGTGCGATAGATCGTTTCCTTCACACTTCAGTTATACAACACAAGCTCCGCCATCAAGTTGCTCAACGAGCTGCCGAGTCGAGCAGCGGTCTGTTCGAGCTCGAGCTCGATAAGCCATCAAGATCGAAATCGTGTTCGAGCTCGACTTGTGAGCTCATAAGCTAGACTCGTTGAGCCTATTACCTAGTTGAGTCCGAGCCGGCTTGCGAGTCAGCTTGACTCCTTTGCACCCCTAAGCATGGTCAAATCATGTTATGCTTGACTCAAGTTCAAGGGCTTATTTGGTTGGACTATTTGTCCAGATAGATGTTAAGTTAATCATGAAAACCTGTTCTGAAAACACTTACAATTCCTTTTTTTTTTTCTTTTTTTTTAGAATTTGTATTCATAGCCTTGAACTCATGACCTTCAAAGTGGAGCTAAAACTCCCAGCCAATAGATTAAAATGCCCTTCAAAATTTTGTTCCAAAACATTCTGCTTCTGTTTTGCGGTGCTAGACAATAGAAAACGGTGGTGCGATAGATCGTTTCCTTCACACTTCAGTTATACAACAATACCATGGAAAAAACAGGTGATTCATCCCCGTAAACTGCTTTTCTTCTTTTATTGATGACTGATAGATATTCTACCTTGAACTATATAAATAACAAAACCAAAAACAAAAGAATTTACCCCCAAAACACCAAAAAAGGAATACTAATTTACATTGGTCATCTCCCTATCCTGTGCACCTAACACTGGCTTACAAAATAATACAACAAAGCCTACATCTAAATCTAAAACTCGGTGAGGACACAAAACCCAGCGTCTCTCCAACTGCACAATTGCCACTTGTGTGAAATGGTCATCCCTCAGAGCTGCTTCTCCATTGATCCAAGTATGAACTGTACAATATGTAAGCAATGAACTCAGACTGATTGCTATGTATGCTTATTGAGCTGCATGGTGTACTTTCCTTGTAATCTGACTAACCTTAGCATCTAGCCTTGCCGATACACCGACGGTTGTCGGTCTCACCGATCTCTGCCGCACGACCTGGCAATACTCGGGATCGTCCCCCTTCCCATCAAATCTTATCCATTGGATCATATTATGGTACATAGGGAAGAACCTTGTCTGAATTGCAGTGAACATGAAGTATGGAATAAGAGTTGAAATCACAACAAAAAGAGTTGTAATCCAGAAAGATGGTGTAGGTGCCAATGTCTCAACGAACACTTGGTAGGCTATTGTCGAAATTATCGGATTTATTGCGCCATAAATAAGGAGGAAGATGTACCATAGCGCGATACCGCCCCAAATGAAGATGTGTTGAATGAGGGTGAAATAGCTAACTGAGACCGCCATCTGACAATTGACAACCCATACCACACTAGTGTACATGGCGGCGCCAAGAATGCTTCGGTCTACAACCTCACCGCCCTTGCGGAATGCTTGGTGCTCATAGATGCTTGTTGTGAAGAAGAAGATCATTATGGCACTAATCACGCCATTGAACATCCAAGCAATGATGCGACGCCAGCTGAATAGTAGATTCTGCACACCTTCTTGATACAACATGGGGAACTGCATTGGAGTTTCAAGTATAGGATAAGTGGATATAGCTATTTAATTATCAGGATACATTTTAGGACGTTGAAAGTGCAGAGAGTGCAGGCAGAGGGATTCAGAGATGTGTTTTTTTTTTTCCTTTTCTATCACGGTAGGCTAATATCCAATTATTAGCATGAAAAGTATGACTTTGTAAGTTCAAACCGTGTGGAGATATAAAAATGGAAATCCTGAGGTTTGACGTGTTAGAAGAGTTATCCTAGCAAATAATTTTCCGAGTCAAACCAAAGAATTAGTTAACAGTTGTGACAGCAATGAATTACATGCAAATATGAACAAGAATTATTTTTAGTACTGGTGATTTCTCTATTTACATGAAATAAAACTAGACAAATTGTATAAATTTCCATATATTTGTGTTTTTATGAATAGAAATTAAATTAAATTAAATTTTGTAAGGATAATGTTTTATCTTGCTGTGTAAAAAAGGACAATTAGTCCTGACATCTATATTAGGATTTTATTTACTATTACTACTAACGTTGTTATAGCCGACCCCACGTAGTGGGATAAAGGCTTGATGTTGTTGTTGTTGTTATACTACTAGCGCTGTTATAAAATCCGTATTTTTTTTTTTTTTTTGGGACATTTAGGTTAATTAAGGCAATCTCACACACACAAGGCAGACACAAAGACTCAAACTCAAAACCTCTTAGTTGGAAGCCTAAGCTCGCAACCAATAGGCCAAGGTGAGCAGGGAGAGAGAGAGAGAGAGAGATTGTCTCTTGCCTAATAGATAAAGTATTTACCTTGAGACAAAACCGAGCAGAAACATCCTGGTCAAATACACCCAAAGCCACCACCGGAAGTGATGTGAAGAAGACATTATACAGTGATAGGGACCAATCTTCATAGACTGGTTGCCCTGAGAATGTTGTATAAGCCTCATACAAGAATATAGTAAGTCCAAACGTGATGTTCTTGTAGAAAAAGTAGCAGATCTGCAAAAAAATAAGTAAACTTTCAAGATCATGTGGTTAAGAAAAGTTTGATATTTGATTCAAATAGATATTATCAGATCTGTACCATTGATGAGATCCTCCTATAACACCAATGCCCATGCACAAGAAGCAAGCGCTCCAGATATCTAAATTGAGCAATTGCAACATCACTTGCCATGACTGCCTGAAATGATACAAATTTATGAAGGCAGATTAAATTAGAGGATAAAGAGAAACAAAGAAGTAAATAAAAATGCAAGTGATATGACAAGTTTTATCAACCTGCATTCCTTCAGCTCCACTTATACCAATTCCAATATCCGCTTCTTGTAGCATTCCCACATCATTGGCACCATCACCAATCCCTAAGGTGACTTTACGTGTGTTTGTTTTCACCAATCTTGTAACCTGGATAGTTTTTTATTATGACCATCAGGTTTTAGAAACATATTTAACAATGGACGACACCATAAAAGGGGCTACTTACAAGGGCCTTTTGCTTGGGAGAAGAGCGGCAGCATATCACTGATGCGCACCTAATAGCCAACTGTAACAAGAGGTTCTTGAGATCATCTTCCAAAGCATAAGTGAGTGATTTTCCATCAATGATCAGAGCAAATGAATCCGAAGTTGACGAACTTAGAAGCTTATTTCCTTCGTTGATTTGGCGGGTTATACTTTCCTTTGATGCCTGAAGTGAAGCAAAAATGTTAGCCTTAAGGAATGCCAATTTCATGCTTATGAATACAAAATGGACAATCTACAAACAGAGAAAAAAAAAAAGCTTTTACCTTGGCAAATGCATCTTTGTTCCCTTGTTTCTCCAACAGAATCAAATCTGGTGTCTCCAGTGTGATGATTATCTGCTTCATTCCTTGTCTTAATAGGCTGCTGGCAAAACTGCAAAAACAAAATGAATTCAGAGGAAATGTAAACGATGCATCTGTAGCTTATATTAAGAGTTTGAATCCCATGTTATACCCTATGTTTATAGCAGTCTCCATCTTGTCACCTGTAAGAACCCATATCTTGATTCCTGCCTGAGCTAGTTTGTCAATGCATTCAGGCACCTATGTAAAGAAGATGATTTATTGAAGTCATTTTAAAGAGCATATTAAAGATTCTACCAATTCATGAAAATTTCCATAACTCACCCCATTTTGCAACTTGTCTTCGACAGCTGTGGCACCGAGAAGAATAAAATCTTTCTCGATCTTATCAGTAGCTGCATCGATTTTTTCATCCCTATCGGCACTTACAGAATTCTTCGCCTCTGTAAATTCCTTTTCGAATCTTTCATATTCCTCTTCATCAAGCTCTCGATAAGCAAGAACCAAAGTTCTTAAACCGGCATCTGCGTACTCGTTAATATGCTCCTTTGTTTTTTCTTCAAACTCCCTACCCTCATTTGAAAGTCTTTCAAACATTACACTGTTTTATGTTTAAACAGAAAAGAAACTTAGAAATCTTCATAAATCATAAACTATAAGAAATATGTTTGTTTATGTGTAATTTCTCTTTAGTTTTCTCATCACAAACCTGTCAGCACCTTTACTGAGAAGTAGCAGCTTTCCTTCTGGACTTTGAACAATCACAGACATCCTTTTTCTTGCACTACTAAACTCTAAGATGTTCAAAAGCTTATATTGCCTGAAAAAAGAATGTAAAATGAAATCAAAACTAGCAAAAAACATCTAAAAGGATCAGAAATCAGATAAATCCTGAGAGATATAGTGGAATTCCTAACCTTTCAACAGTATTGCCTGTCAAAGGATCCAGCTCATACAAAGAGATGGCTGTCTGAGTTCTCTGGTAGAACTGAAATCCAAGCTCCCTAGCTGCAATAACAAAGGCAGCCTCATCAGGTGACTCAGCTTCATATGTTATCTGTCTTGAGGCTTCATCAACTTCAGGTATGGCAGTATGGCAGATTGCCAACAATCGAAAAAATTTCTGTATTACTTCAGAATAAGGCTCATTGACCCAGTTCCCATTCATGACTCTTCCATCTATGAAGTTGAATCCTTTTATTGCAGGTCTATTAACCACATTATCCTCTTCATTCTCTTCTTCAGAAAACAAAGGCACACCTTTTCTTTTAGCCATTGCTCTCTCGACTTCTGTGACACCACGGCCATAAGCAGTACCAGCAATGCTGCATTTGATGAACTCCATTGAGTTCATAGTTAACGTTCCTGTTTTATCTGAAAGGATGGTATCAACTTGGCCTAATTCTTCAGTCAGGTTCGAGGTACGAGCATGCGCCGGTTTATCAGATTCCTCGTGATACATTTCGATGTCTTGGTTGATAAAAATGGTCTGCAGTACTTTGACAATTTCTATTGATACATACAAGGATATTGGAATGAAGTAACTATAAAGCATAAGTGCAGTTAGAAAATGTAAGATGGCTGCAAGAGGCGCTCTTTTAGGATCATAGAAAACTTTGGTATCATCTGGTCGGAGATACCATCTCTTCATCTTTCCATTGTTCAAATCCTCATGGGTTTTGATGCCAAAGATGATCGATCCAATAGTCGCAATTACAACCAAGAAAAACAACAAGAGGTATATAAGTTTATCCATCTTCCTCTCAATTTTGCTTCTCTTTGATGGCGGATCGGTGGCATTCTGCATCACTTTCGTGTCATGGCCGGTGAATATCACTACACCGTAAATGTAATCGGTGTTCCGAAGTTTCGAGTCGCGAAGAAGAATTTGCTGCGGCGAGAGGGGGTATGGCTGGTCTTGGTATTCCATGCTTCCAACAAAAGTATAGAGGTTTGCATTCGGATCTTCACATTTTATTATTGCTTTGAAATTTTGAAAACTAGAGTCATCATGCAAATTTGATGTTACCTCCAAAGCCTGTTTCATTTTCAAATTGGTTTCTCCATCAAGATTCATAGTTTCCACATAACAAATCGCTTCTTCATAATTAGAGGAAAGTAAGATCAGATCAGTAGGGAAGAATTCATCCTTCTCCACCTTCACTATGTCTCCTACCCTCAGCTTCTTCCATTCTGTACGCTCAAAAGTTCCATCACCCCGATGAAACTTAACTTTTCGATTGTTCATCTCAGTATCCTGGAACAAACATAATGTTTTAGAAAGAGAATTGAAAATCATAATTGAATGGATAAATGGAAAAATCTGAGAAATTTGATTCAGAAAACATAGCAAATCAGATGTTGAAACCCTAAATAACAAATAAACCGATACAAAGACGAATTCATAATAGTTCTTATGCTGGTAGATTTACTCATTCATGAGAAATTGAAATAGAAAACTAATTCGTAAATATCTTTGAAGATGAGATAGTTTCATTTGGAACAATTTTCTGATAATTTCTGTGACCTGAAAAACAGCTTTTTACAGCAAAAAAACATAAATTGCTTCAAACAAAGCTTAGTTTGGGGTGGCTTTCTTAAAGCTTCATAAAGCAGTTTTTTAGTTAAAAAATTTTAATTTTTAAACTTGAAAGCTGCTTTAAGAAGCATTAAGAAAGCCGTCCCAAATGAAGCCTAATCCAACATCCTAGAAACAGATTCATCAAAAAGTCACACTGTAATTAACACTTCTTAAAGAGAATAACATAGAGATAAATAGATGATTAGGAGAGGCTAACTGTATCAAAAATCTGCACTTAAATAGTTCTATGTCAACCCAAAGAGTTTAAGTTCAGATTTTACTTCATAATAATTTCATGAATTAAGCATTAAAGAGAGAAAACAAAAAACTAATCCTATTCAATTAATGCTTTGCATAAAATAACTAATACAACCAAACTAAAAAATCTAATTTTTTTCCATAAATAGGGGAAGAAAAAGAAACATACCTGCTGAAATCTCCTCCAATCTTCAACAGCCTCCTTTGCCATAGTTGCTCCAATCACAACAATAAGAGGAAGAATCGCACTCACAGCACCATAAGGTGCTAATGGTGTGAAAGCCAGACAACCAGTAACAAGAAAATAAAAATTTGCGACCCTTCTGAACTGCTCAAATAGTGATTTTGGCAGAAATGTCGCCAAATTATACTTTGTAGTTGACACATAATTCAATCCATAGTTCAGATTAGTAGCCTCAAAACAAGCTGGATCATTCGCAAAAACCACCCTTGAAAATCCTGGCCCTCCAATCTGGTTCTGCTGCTCATCCTGCAGAGACGATTTTCCACAATTGAAGCTGAAGAACTTACTGAAATGAATCTTCTTTCTTCTTCCACCAGCCATCTCTTTCTTCTCTGTAGTCTCACCAGCCAACCTTATCTGACCTTCCCGATCTCTCTTCAATCTTTTTCAGCAAATCTCAAGTTTGAATGCTTCAAAGTTCATTACTTCATCAACAGATCAAAAGCTCTACACAGCAAACTCAACCTCAGCCTTCTTCCACCTCTGATCAAAGCATCTAAGAACACGAAACCCTCACAAACTTCAACCTTTTCTGCAAATCTGAAGCTCAAACCTCAAAGCTTCAATCTTTTCCTGAAAATCTTCGTCTTCCTCCTCTAAACAGAAAATATCAGCACAAAGAAGGGGAGAGGAACAAATAAGCTGGAACATCTATCGTTCTCTCCAAACGCTATAAAAAGCTTGGAGAAGAAAAGAGAAAGCTGGCGTCTTTGAAACCCTCATAAGAGATGGCGGCCACCCGTTGACCATTAAAACTTTGAAATCTATTCCATTGACTTAGGAAACGGAAGATTTTTACAATTCTTCCAGCGAAATTTCATATGGAGACCTCTTCAAGCACGCGGAATACCAGAAATCAGAAGAAAATAATGGATTTAGGATTAATGAAAAAAGGAGAGAACTTTATTACAAATAGAAATAAAAATAGTTTCTAGATGGTCATATTGACGCTGGGAAGCTCGGCGGGAATTATAACGTTTTTCATCTCTTTGCCATTGACAGCTTCGCAGAAAAGTGTTTTTTCTCTCTCTATCTCTATCCATCTCTATCTACGATTCTACGTCTTGCTTATCAGCTGCTCCTTCTCTCTACTTAGTCGCCTTGAAACAAAGAATCAAACACAGATAGAGAGAGAGAGGAGAGGAGAGGAGAGGAGAGGGAGAGAGAGAATGTCGTAAATTTCTATGTATTAAAATGACTCGGCGACTCGTTCATTGGCTGAAGGAAGGGAGAGTGAGTGGAGGGTAAAAAACTAAAAACTAAAATATTTTCTGAAAATTTAAATAATTTATTAACATAATAAATAGTCTTAATTAAATAAAAAATAAATTCATGCTTCATAAAATTTATATAATTTTTTTCCTTTTTAATTAAAAAATATTTTAAAAAACATAATAGAAATTACAGTTGAAATTTTTATAAAATTTGTTAAAGCTAAAAACTCATAAGTCATAAAAAATAAAAATTAATTAATTATGATATCTCTATAAAAAACTAGCAATTAAGATATAGACTAAACATAAATTTGAATAAAAAAATAATCTTTTATAATATAAAAATATTATTTACAAAGAAATTTTAAATCAAAATATTTTAATCAAAAATTGAAATTTTATATAAAATAAATATAATTTATTAATAATCTAATAATCAAAAAATTTAAAATATATTATACTAATTTCAAAATAATTTTTAAAATTTTGAATTTATATATTAATATAACATTATATATTTATCACCCCCAACAACCAAGTTAAGACGTCCAAGTCGTGGGCCCCACAGAGTCTCATCATTTCTAGGGTGCTTATTTTAATCCTTGTTGGGTAAAGGCAAATGACATAATTACCCTAACCATTCTTCTAGATTAGTCCAATGGTCTGCTAAGGTTTCAACAAAATGGGAGGGTATAATAGGAATATGAGGATATAGGTCGCCACGTAGCAAACACGTTTGCCCACCTCCACCTACTTAAGACCAGTAATCAAATGGAAAATAAAATGTAAAAATTAAAGTCCCAAAAAATAAAATAAAATTTGTTTGCTAACTCAAAGTTTTTATTTTTGTTTTATTTTTTAAAGTGATTGATCTTATCCATTTGTGGGATCACATAAAATATATATTTATGTAGTAATAAATTTGATATAAATATATATAATTTTCTAATTATACTCAATTAAATAATAAGATTATGAAAATATTGAATTTGTTCATCATAAAATTCTCTCAAAATTTTCTTAAATATTTTATGTATAAAATGAGTTAAACAAACTAAATTGGTGTTTTTAAGAAATATATTTTATTTATAAGCAACTCAAGAAGTCCTAATTATTACAATATAAATTTTAAACTTAATGAATTATGTTGTTATAACACATATATTGAGAAAAAAAACACAAATAAGCTATTAAAAGTAGAAAAAAAAGGCTCGAGATATCTAATTAATCTTTTTTATTTGAACGAATTTTAAAATTATTAAATTTATTTTGAGATTAGTAAAATAAATAAATATTTTTTAATTATCTTAAAAATAAAAACTAATAATTTTGAAAATAGGAATTATGATATCTTATTTGGATACCAATACTATACTATATCTTCTCAGA